CTTGCCGTCTCCGCGTAGGTACGCCGCCGTCGCCTGCCCCAACACGCGCAGCCGGCATGCGTTGACGATGTACGCCTGCTCACGCACACGGCGCCAGTCGCCAATCTCGCGCAGCTCCGTCTCCACTCCCTTGCAGAACTCTTCAATCTCCTCGCGCGTCGCGCTGCGACGCAGCAGCTGTGGGTGCAACTCCTCGCGTCTCGGGGTATTGGCACCAGCACCCGCAACCACCACGAGAGGGGCAGCAGTCGGAGGTGAGCTTGCCTCGCTTTCGAGGCGCAGCAGGTCCGCCGTCATCTCGTTAAGCGCGGCGCTCGTTCGCGCAAAGTCCCCGTCGGCATTACCGAAGGCGCTGCGAACCACATCCCGCGGCACGCCAGGAAACATGGTGCACAACTTCTTCACCCGCAACTCGTCCGCCGGCTTGATGCGGCCGTTCCAGAAGTTGCCGTAAGCCTGCCGCGTGAGGTTCTCTGTCGAGCACACTAGCACACCGTACGCATCGGCGTAGTTCCCATTGTAGTTCTGCAGCACTGCCTCAATCGAGGATACATCCATAGCAGGGAAGAGAGCACACAACGTGAGAAGACACTCATGCTTCGACTGCACCTCCGCCTCGTGCAGAGAGGCATTCTCAGCGAGACGCTCCTTCCAAAGAAAGGCCTCAATATCCTCTGCGGCCTGAAAGCCGTCCAACTTGCTCATCATGTCCGCGACCAAGTTGGCGTCACCGTTGGCAGAGCGGAGCGCATGTAGCAGCAAGCGCGGCTCGGTGTTGGGGAACGCCTCGAGGAGGCCTATGAGCGCCTCCAACTCGGCGTCGTCGCGTGGCTGGTGCTCATGCTGCTGCTCCCGCATCTGCATCTGCTGGTTGCCCTCCCACTGGCCTTCACCAGTCACAGTCTCGGGAAGATAGCTGGAGAGCAGCACCTCTGCCGGCTGCTCCTCACCCGGCAGTTGCTTCCACTCCTCCTCCCTCCCCCACCGCTGGTGTTGCTCCTTAACCTCCATCATCTCCAGTTGCATTGAGCCCCCCATTGAGGCTGGACTCTCTCNCCTCCCTCCCCCACCGCTGGTGTTGCTCCTTAACCTCCATCATCTCCAGTTGCATTGAGCCCCCCATTGAGGCTGGACTCTCTCGCTTCAATGACTCTTCCCCTGGCGACTTCCCCCACACTTCAGGTTTGGTGCGCCGCAACAAGTCCGCATTCGACTCGTGGCGATACTGACACTTCTCTCCGCGATTGCAGCGCCCGTTCAGAAAAAAGACACACACATCGGCATCTCTGTCCGCGTGCAGACAATCTTTTCCATACTTGCAGTTACCAAACTGGAAAATGCACGGATGCTTGGCCCTGGGCGTTGTTGGTATTNCGTGCAGACAATCTTTTCCATACTTGCAGTTACCAAACTGGAAAATGCACGGATGCTTGGCCCTGGGCGTTGTTGGTATTGGTGTTGGTTTTGCTGTTGTACCTGCTATTGAGCGTTGCGCCGGGGTGAAATCCTGCAGGCGCCCGAATCGTTGTGGCGATGCCGTGGCAGCATCCTGCTGCTTCTTGCGCACCGCCTCCAAGAACGGTTGCGGCACCTGTCCAGCCGTCCGCACCTGCCAGTCGAGCGCGTGGGGATCAGTGTGCGTTGGCTCAGAGCCCTGTATGAGGTTGAAGCGGCTCGGCTCTGGCACCGGCACCGCCATGGCGTATCGCCGCGCATCCGCGTCGTTGGCGTCCGACACAACTCTGCCGACGAGCACGTGACCACCGCTGGGCTCTATCACCTCCACCACCGTGCCATTCGCGAGCTTCATCGTGCCATTGTCCCCCACTGGGCGGAGATCAGCACGGATGTCGACACCGTCCACGTAATGCCGCCTGGTGCAGTGGCTGCCGTAGAGGCAGCTGCCGTTGTAGTAGTTGATGCACGTGTCGCCGGGGTAATCGCGCAGCTTGCAGAACTTGCCAAACTGACACTTCTTGTACTGCACAATGCACGGGTGCTTCCGCTCCTTTGGTACAGCATCGGTCGCTGCAGGGTCTCTACCTTGCGGCTTCACCGCATTAGCGGGCGACGCCACCGCACCAGACTCGTGCTGCTGCTGCTGCTGCTGCTGTTGCTTTTGTTGCTGGCTTCTTAGTATTTTTAGTGCGACATCGCAGTTTCCCCCAGCGTCCTTGAGTGCCTGCTGGGACTTTGTCTTACTGAAGCCGGCTGATTGCAGCTTCTTCAATTTGTCGTCCTCTTTCTTCATTCGGCTAAAAAAAAACAGCAACAAAAAAACCCTCCAGAAGATTCACAGATGAGAGAGAGAGAGAGAGAGCGTGTGTGTTTGTGTGATGGGGAGGGAGGGAAGGGTGCGAAGGAGCATACCAGGCAGCAGTGGGGAAATGCCTTACGGTTCAACCGAGGCTAATGATTCTGCTTGAGTAACATAGAAGGAGGCGCCTGTCTTCCAGTCCTTTTTTTCGTGACTGTTGCTGCTGCTTGGCGCCGCCGCACAGCGTGGCGTTGAGTGGAGGCACAGACCGCCGCCGCCACTGACGGAGGACGGGCGTTCGCTCACCCACCACCACCACCACCCAGGACACATACGCAGGCACAGACACAGACAGGCAAACACATCAGCAGCAGCAGCAGCAGCAGCAGTAACAGTCACAACAAGGATAATAACAGACACACACACTCAACAAAATACAAGCGATCACCACTTCTCACTTTTTTTTTCTCTCTCTCTCTCTCTTCATTCTATGCCTCCTGCTAGTCCGTGAGGTCAATAACGCCACAGTCGCTGATAGTGATGGTCTCGCGCGGGCTCTGGTTGTGTTTTACATCTACCGCGTGGATGGCCTCCACGACTTCCATACCGTCCATGACGCGACCGAACGCGACGTAGCGACCGTCCATCCACGACATGGGCTTCATTGTAATGTAGAAGGACGACGCGTTGGTGTCCTCGCCGTCGTTGCACATCCCCAACACCCCCGGCGCGTCGTGTGGGACGGCGTGCGACTCGTTGGGGAAGTAGCGGCCGTAGCAGGAGTAGCCACCCTTGCCGCTGTGGCCGGCGCTCACGTCGCCGCCCATGACCCACGCGCCGTGGAGAATGCGGAAGAACGTCGCCCCCCTGTACGACAGCTCCACCGCCTTCTCATCCTCCTCCTGCTGCTGCTGCTGCTGGCCGTCGCTGGTGATGCTGCTGCGCTGGTGCACCGGCACAACGGTGCCAAGGTCACCCTTGCAGAGGTGCCAGAAGTTGTTGCAGGTGCGCGGCACGACCTGCGCGTACAGCTCAAACGTGATGCGGCCGCGCGCCACCTCCCCGATCGTCACATCCATCCAGCAGTAGCTGTTGCCGCGCTGCTGCAGGAACTTCTTCCACGACGCGAGTGCCGTGTTCTCGTACGAGTCCGCGCTCGCAGCGGGAACCTTCAGCACGCGGAAGTGCGTCTGCTCCTGCACGTGCTGCAGGAAGGCCTCACCCGACATTGCGGCGCCATCGCCCTGCAGCACAAACACCTCCACCGCGTCGCTGTCGAGCTGCCGCTCTGCGACCATGCGCTGCCGGCGCGCGTAGAAGTCACGCGGCACCTCGCGGAACACCTCCACGTAGTACTCCGCGCTGTGCTCCTGCTGCAGGTACGCCGCGGCCTCGGTGCACTGCTGAAAGAGCGGGTGGAACACGAGGCCGCACACAGTGAAGCTGCGGCGTTGCTGCTGCATCTCGGCGACACGTCACAAGAGGCCCGCACGCCTGCAGGGAAAAGCTCCTTTCTCGGAAGAGAAGCAACCACAAGAGATACAGAGAGAGAGAGTACAGGTAACACAACAGTGATACACACACACACACCGAGAGAGAGAGAGAGAGATATGCCAAGGCAGGACCGCACGGCTACACACACACACACACACA